AATTTTCCATTTCAACCACACATACATGCAAAACTCAGATTCTTGCAAAGAGGCAACCAGCTACTATTTAAAATGTTTTAAACGGAATTCAGATGGCTCTTTTCCCTTCTGAGTCTGTGTGCCAAATGACAGAAACCAATACTCATCTCCTTTCCCCAAACCCAGGAGGACACATGAAAGAACCTAGAAACGCATTCCTTAAAGGAATTCGGGCATTTCCTTTAAATAATTTATATACGCACATACGTATATATCCCCCGTGTGCATTTCCCCCCTTTTTACTCGTGTGAAAGCAGCAGCTACAATCACTGAGATCCACATCCTCAGACTGTGACATTTCAGCAGGTCTTGTACTGCGAAGCCAAAATGCCTGGAGCTGCGCAAGCTGTCTCCCTCTCTCTTGTCCACGGGCTCGCAGCTCCTGCCCAGCGCCTCGCCGAGCGCGCTCCGGTAAAAGTTGCCCATCGTGTTAGCCCGGGTCTGAGTTTGCACGAGTGAGTCACGGAGGAGACACGATGTGCTACGGAGGCCAATGACCTGAAATCGTGGCCGCAATCTGCTCTTTCCTCCGCACTGACTCGCACCCCCCCCCCCCCGCCCTATTATCTAGGATTCCTTTGGGGGGACAGCAAGTACTCAGGCAACCCTTGGGATGTTGCCTGTGAGCTTCTCCTTGAAATGTTTTTCCGATTCCGTAACCCGTTGGCTAGAAGCGCGACAGGACAGGACTACCGGGTTCTCTCCGCCGCCGCCGGCCACTACACCTAGCGGCGGCCGGGTGCGCCAGAATGGGCGGGTAGATGAAAAGATACCGCACCCACGTACCTCCTTTCTCCTTTCTGCGGGATGCCGGTTGCGCGTTGCGGTCTTTGTCCGCTCGCCCTTCAGCGGGGGCCGCGCACTCCCGAGGATGGCCGGCAGGTGGCGCAGTTGGTTCACGCTGAGCCGCTGCCAGGAAAGGCTCTTCCACCTCCCGGAGGTCGCCCTCCCTCTGGGACCCAGGCTCAGGAGGAAAACCCGGCCCAATCCCCGAGGGAGCAAGAGGAGGCGCGGCCTGGCAGAAAGGAAGGAGGGATGCCTCATCTGAGAACGAGACCCGTGCAAACGTCTGGAGAAATGCACCGAGCCGCGTTGGGGTCCAATTCCCGGGCTACTTTGCTATCTCAGGACGGCGCTCAGGTGGCTGCGCCTGCAGCCAGGGTTTGGGGGACCGATCAGGGCCACTGTTGACCCCGGAGAGTCAACAGAGACACCGGGGCACATCGGCAGGGGCAGATGAGCAGATTTCTGCGGGTCCCACTGCCCACCGCGTCTCCTGGGGCAGGGAGAACTGTCGGGCGGAGCGCAGAGTTGGCACAGCCGCTCCGGGCAGCTTCCGAGTTCCCCTTTGCGAAGGCCGGTCAGCGGTGGGCCACCAGATTCCCACCTAAGCCCTTGGCTTCTATTCCCCGCGTCTGGGACTTGCCGGGTCCCGTTCCAGGGACAACCCCCGGGAAACACACAGTTGGCTCCCTGCCGGCAGGGCCATCCCGGAGCGCCTTGCCGCGGTGGGAGCCAGGACCCGGGTGAGCCCCCAGGCGTGAGCGCAGAGATGGGGCCGAGGGGGCTTCTCCGTCGCTGGAAAGTCATTTCGTTCCGCTTCAGAGCGGAGACAGTGACTGAGCCCCGGCGCTGCACTAGACGACGGGGACCGATCAGGTCGCTCTCCAGGCATCTAGGGGGTCTGGGGAATGGGGTCAATCATGCCACAGAATCCCCTCCAAAGAGCATTTCATACGGAGATGCGCAATAAAGACACGAAATAGGGCCGGGTAGCAGAGGGAGGCTGTGCCGGGCTCAGGAGTGCGTGTGCAGCCCCAGCCCCGGCGCACCGGACCAAAACGCTTCGACCCTCAGGAAAGAGCAACAGCAAAGAGGCTGGCCAACTTCATACTTATTTTATTTCAATAAAAGGACCTTTGCCTCCTTCTCAAACCGTCGTAGGGGGAAGAGGGAATTGCCAACCTTTCCTCGGGCTCCCCCCCAACCAATTCAGAGACTTTCTAAGCTCCCTCCCCGGCCCAGGGGCTGGACCCCTGAGGTGAGGTCTGGGGGCCCCGTCGCCTCCCTCGGTGGGGGCGGGGACCCACGCCAATCTTGCCCCCTCAAGCCCCGGGAGCCCCGAGGGGCGGGAACTCAAGGCGGGCTCGGCTCCGTGGGGGCGGGGCCAGGCCGCCGGGTCTACGCCACTATTGGCCGCGGGCCCCGGACTGGCGGGTGGGCGTCACGGGCCGGGCCCACCCCCTTGGCAATGTCCTCAGCCTGCTGCACTCCTAACTTAAGCATTTATTCCACTGGGATAGAAGCGGTAGGAGCAGCGTTGGCACCGGCGAACCATGGCTGGGATTTTCTATTTCGTCCTCTTTTCGTTTCTCTTTGGGACTTGCAACGCTGTCACCGGTTCCAGGGTGTACCCCGCGAACGAAGGTACGAGTGGGGCGGCTTTTCTGCTGTCGGGGACAGAGAGGGGACGATCCGCGGGTGATTTTTTCCTCCGGAGCGTGAGGCCGGCGAGTGTTGGGCGGGGGGGGCGGAGAGGACGGGGATCCCCGCGTGAGCAGTGCTCTCAGACTCGAGAGAAAGGAGCCTGGGAGAGGGGATCCGCCAAGAGGGGGCACGGGGCGGCCGAGTGTCCTGACCCGGGCGGTGACCCGTGCTTGCGGCGAGACTGCCCAAGTTTGTAGCAAAAGGACAAAGTTTGGCAGCATCCGCCGCGAGGCCAGTTCGAAGCGCCCCGAGGGGATACACGGGAGCCAACGCTAGGATTAAACATACTAATTCTGTGGCCCAAGCCCTCGCTACCACCACTCCCTCACCCAGCCCCAGTCGACGGGAAAACGGAAGCCTGGAGCCGGGAGAGAGCTGGGTGCTCCCGGGCTCTTAGGGAAGCCGTGCGAGCAGTGGTTTCTGCCAAGTTTCCCGAGCCCTGCGCTTCCCGGGACCGGGCTGCGGAGCCTCCGCTGCGCAGCAGAGACGTGCGGCTCGCGGCTGCCGGTGACCTGATTTCTAGCATCCGGCGTCAGTCACCTTTCTTCTCGCTGGGCTCCGGCTCCCCGAGGTGCCATCGCAGGTCTAAGGGCCCCACGCTCCTCAGATCACCCCGCAGACCTGGGCAACCCGCCGGCAAGTTAAACGGACTCGAGTTTTTGCTTTTTGCCCCAGAACTGTGCACTGGGTTAGTTTGGGGAGAACGTGCGGAACCGACTGGACCCGTCTCGGCGCTCGGTGTTCGGCGCGTCTGTTCGGACGTGCTGGAAGGATTGTGTGTCTGTGTCGGGGAGGTGGGGGTTGATCATGTAGTTTCTGATGATCTCAGAGAAAAGCGAGTTGAGTGTGCGTGTGTGTGTGCGTGTATGTGCGTGTGTGCATGTGCGTGTGTGCATGCGCGCGAGGGCAAATGCGTGTTTGTGGCGCGTGGGTGCCCGCGTGGAGGTGGATTGTGTTTCTGTGCGCGAGTGCCCTGATGGTGCGCCCGTGTGTTCCGGCGAATGCTTGCACTCGAGCCTGCGTTCATCTAGCCTTGCATCTGTCTCGCCTACTTTTTCACCCCTCCCTACCACTCACCTCCCCCATTCCATCCATCCATTCAGCCAGCCAGCCAGCCAGCTCTTCATTCGTCTATCTCTCCGGATCCGTCCCTCCATCCCTGTACAATCTATCATTTTTCCTGTTCCGAAGGAGGGAGCCAAAACCCAACTTAGCCTTGGCTGGGCAGCCGGTACCCAGAGTTCGCCAGACGAAGCTCGAATAGATTCGCACACCTGCCGGCAGACACTGCTTGCGAGAATAGGGGCGCTCTCTCACCCTCCCTCCTTCCGACCTGGGTCCAGGTGCCATCTCGGCCCCTGCGGCTCCTTGGTCCCCAGGGTCAGTTCTCTTCTCCGAAGCTGGATCCCGCGTCCCGCTGGCTACTTGGCGCGCTTCTTAGGACGTCCCCTAAGACCTCACTGCACCAGATGCAGGGAATTTCTTTGCACCCATTTCTTGCTTTTTCTTTTGAGAGCAAAACTTGGGAGCCCTAGACACAAAAAGGTGCGGATGGAGCCATAGGCTGATGTAGAAAGGGGGGGGGGGGTCACCCCCCTCTCGAACTCCTCCTCCCCCTAAAAAATAATTCATTTTGTTGCTTTTTATTCCCATCACGTTTCCTTTTCTCCCTTTTACCCTCCCTTTCTACTCCCTCCCTTTTTTTGTAAATTGGGTCTTATTGTTCCCTTTGTGTCCCTAATCCACCTTACATAAATCCAAATGGATGTAGCGGGCTTTTCTCTAGGGACCCAGAAGAGAGAATGAGGCCGGTGGTGGGGGCGCAACTCCGGGCGGGGGAGACCCAGGGAAGGCTCTACACTTTAAAATAATTAACAGATCCCAGGAATTCAGGCTTTTGGGGGAAACTAGGAGAAAGAGGCAGATATTAACTCCTTGACTTCGTGGTGAAATGAGAGGGGACATGGTCAGAATACAGAGGCCTGGGGGTGAGATGGAGAGTTGGGGTGCGCCAGAGCAAAGGGGAAGGCTTCCTCTTCCCACCCCTCCCCCAGCGTGAGGAGCCAGCCTCGCCGATCAAATTAATAACCCAGTGGTTCCTTTGAGATGGGCCTTTCGACCCGCAGGCCTGCGGATCTCGGTGGGAAAGAGAACGTGGAGAGAGAGGTTAGGAATTGACTGCGTCCTTTTCAATGTCCTAGGTGCCTAGGCCTGCTCCTGCCTGGGCGGGGCTCCGATTCCTAATCTTCGATGCACACGCTTAGGTGTAACACTAGCACACTAACTCTACTGCATACCTAAAATTCAAATCAGTGATTTCCTCTTGGGTGGAGGAGGAGTCTCTGTGTGTCCTCTAAAAGACCTGGGGAAGAGAATCATTCAGTTCATTTGCATTCTAATTCTACGCGTCTGCCATCTCTCCCCCCCTTCCCCCCCCTTGAAACTTTGATATTTAAAAAAGCAGCGGATACCACCACCAAGGCCGATTTATTTGGTGATGGAGGGGGGGAAAGTGGTCGGGGAGAGAGCCTTTTCCTGACCCTTTGAGCACTCTCAGATAGAATTCACTTGTGGCTCTGTCACCATGATGATGAGTTATGCGGTCATCTGAAACTTGTAAAAACAAATAACTCCAGTAGACACCAGACAGAGATGAATGCAGATTTTGCTCTGGAGTGCAACTGCCCTACATAGATATATTTATTTTTTGAATTGTACTTGAGATTCTCTATTCATCCTTTTTAGAAAATGAATCAACTGAGTCCTGGGATGGAATTTTAAATGCTCAGCAAGTTAAATAAATAAGAACTTGCAGATTTAAAGAGGGGAGAAGATCAAGTGAGTAATGATTATTTACATAAGTGAGACCAAGTTTAGGTTTGATCAGAGTTGGATATGCGCACCCTCAGCACATATGGAAACGCTCAGGCAAATGGTTTTTGTAGTATTGGCTTTTGCAATTGGAAATTAATCTATTTTTCTTTTCCTTTTTGTAGTTACCTTATTGGATTCCAGATCCGTTCAGGGAGAACTTGGGTGGATAGCAAGCCCTCTGGAAGGAGGGGTAAGTTCCGAGTGGCTCTCTGCTCAGAAGGGTAAAAAAGGAGTGATTAGCAACTTTCTGAAAGTCCTAATGGCTTGATTCTTGTTGATTGTGGTGAGGGGGTCAGATTTCCGCCATGGCCTATGAAGTGAATTACGCTTTGTTGCAGAAATCCTATACTCCCCTTGGATAGGTCTGTCATGGTAGAACTAGAAACCAAAAGGGCAGAAAGGGTTTTCAAAATTAGGAGATCAGTAGAGGCATCAACTTAGATGCCTATTTAAAACTAACATACCAACAAAAAAGGCAATCTGGAGACCTAATTAGAATTGATGCCTACATCACTGTGATGGCCATGAAGTCCTGACCGGGTTCATGTTAGAGCAACTGTCCTGTTTCCAGGTGAGGAAAATGAATAAATAAAGATACTGGGGAGAAAGCCCTTCTCTTTGTCCCAGTCACAGGTTCAGTTCTGTGCACAAGCTAAGCTGCAGGAGCTCCTTACCTTGCTGTCAGGACCACCTTAAAGCAGCTGCTGCCCTCTTGCACACTGAAAGCCTTATGAGCTCGTGCCCCCTGCACAGTACATGCAGCAAGCATCAAAGCTTGAGCATTGTTGGGGCTAAATGTGAAAAGTTTAAGTATTTGGAGTCTTGGATCTTTGGTGTTGGGGAGGCTGCATTACAAGCGTGAGAGAGAATGCACTGCTCATTTCTTCTAGAATTTGCCATCACTGCCTCCATTGGAAGATTAAGAGACTAGAAGTAGGTCAATGGACACATTCTCTCACCTCAACCTTACCCCTTAATAACAGGTCAAAATGAATTCGTTTTTTGGGGGGAAAAATCAGTACAATATGTATCTCTGGTTTCTGCCAAATTGACATAACTCTCAGGTTTTTAAAAAATTAAGCATATCAGCCCTCCTTTGCATATTTTATAATCTATGACTAAGTCAAATGATTAAAAACAATAGAGATGAAAGGAAGATTGAGTCTTTACCAGGCAAAAATTGTAATGCCAGCACCCACTATGGTGCTTCAACAATTGCATAAGCAATAAAAGATGAAAAGAAAATAAAGATGCATAGAAACTATTATAGAAGATGGGTTTCAAAAACAAGATAAGAAACAATCATGAAACTGGAGAATTTTAGGATTTCTCCAAAGTAGTTCTCATAATCCATTTAAATGAAACGGAGATTGTCCTGCCTTCCTGTTTTTTCTGCCTGAACTTGACTGTAGTTAGTTGAGTCTCTGCTGAAAAATTCCAGTCTGCTCTCAAAACCATTTTTTTAAAGGGGGAGAGAATGATTGGCAGGCTTCTGGCAGTGTAGACAGGCTGTATTCACCGCTGATTGCAGGCAATTGCCCTCATCCTTTGAATGCGAAGAAAGGTACAGCTTTATCTTGTGAGAGTCAGACTCTTGTTAATCCTATACCCTGGAAAGGTCACTGATTCAGGAAGACTTTCCCATGCTACACTAGAGCTATTGCTCTGTAGGTTGAATGTATTAGAACTGTATGCTCAATTGAGGATGGAAGGTACCAGTACTTGCATTAAAAATTTTTAATAAGCCTTATTTTTCTTACTAGTTGCTCTAAAGCTTGAAGAGAGAATGCATCAAGTATGACTTTGGATCTAACTTGTTAACACTAAATATACATGGACCTATTAAAAGCAAGGAGTGACACTTTTTTTTTTTTTTTTTTTTAGTACAGTCTATGGTCTATCTAGTTTCTGGAAAGCTTTTACTGCAATTTAATATGCTGTAGACTCCACACCCCACCCCTATCCCCCGAATTGCTGAAAAAGCACCTGGTCACTTTTTCTAGACACAAAACTTTTCTTGGTTGTCTTGAAGTCTTTTACAAAAATAATATTATGCATACTGATTATTGTATAAAACCCAGACTTTTATGGGCTGAGTGGAAATAGTTTTTTCCTTTCCTTAAATATTACGTATGTAGCATTTAAGTATTATTGTGAGGGGTTAGAAATGAAATTTAACTTGTGCATAAGAAAAATAGTCTTTCCAAAATACATACCAGGTAGTAGCCATTGAGATATTAGGTACCAAATTATGAAATGTAATTAATCTCTAGATTTTATATTTGAAGAGGATTTATCAGGCTTAGAGTAACGGATGAATTGGAAATCTACTGAGTAGGAATAGATTGGCTTCAAAAGTTCTTTTTAGCTGAGGGGGGGCGGGGTATACTTGAGTCTTTCGATTATTTTGAGACATCTTTGCTGGAAAGTTTGGATTACAGTTTTGTCCAATAATGACCTTTATTTATTGTTGTTGCTGTTATTTTTAAAAAGAAAAAGAAAACTTATTTGACAATACAGTCAGAAACAACTCTCCTGTTTTTCCATCAGAACAACTAAACTAAACATGAAAATAATGGAAAATGATGGCTCCTGATGGCAACATTAGAACAAAAACCTAATTTCTTGGCTGTGCTCATTTAAAGGAGTATATTGAGTTGCTGACATTGATTGTAAAATACAAAACTAAGGGGAGATTTGTCATTGTTCTGGTGAATTGATCAGTGTGTTTAAACAATCAAGTTCAGGCTGGAGAATTCACAGTGCATCTGAATTATCCTGTATAAATTTTGTGGAGCTATCCCTATGTATTTTCATTTACATTGATAAATGTGTTTTGCCATATTTTCTTTGTTCGGAGAGGAGAAACATGCCTAGTAGGTTTTTTTGTTTTGTTTTGTTTTTGAAGATGGGGATCTATTTTTGCACTTACGTGAATTACTGGTGGTTTATTAATGGGTAAAAAGAAATTTTAATCATGACAGGGTACTTGTCCCTCCCAGTTCCAACTTTCATAATGGTAGTAGATGAAAGGGATAGAGAATTTTATGCATTATGGCCCTTCATATAGTAACATTTCCATCCATTAACAGTTCTTCAATGCACAGATGGGAAACCCGTTAAAAGATACAGTATGATTCTATGTACTTATATTTTCGGATGGAGGCTTAAGTGGAGCTATTATACAATATACATTTCTTAAACTCTTTTTTTCCTTTAATTATATTCATGTGTTAGATATTTAAGCTGACTTATACCAGATCTACATAAGTGTATCACTGCAGATATTAATGAAGAGCTCTGTAGGACCCCCAAACAATCTTGCTTCTTTTAGGATTATTTTTTTAAAGGCAAGAGTGAAATGACCACTTTAGTCATAGTGAATTCAGACTGTCCCACTATGAGAATCTTTGTTAGGAAGTAGATTGCAACTCCACCGTCCTTTTTAAATTTCTTGAGCTTTTAATCAAAAATGCTACTTACGATTTTGCTTTCAATACCCTCAGAGTATTTAGAAGCAAAGTATGTATGTGTTCTTGTTTACTTATGTGCATATGTTTTAAAAATGAGAACAATATAAACATTTAATTGAATGCATGCTCTTGAGAAGTGTCCTACCATTACAAATGACAGCATATATGAGAAATCCAACCAGAAAGTTTACTCTCTGTCTTCCTAGGATTACCAAAACCAGAATGGCGAGATTTTCTTTCCCCCTTTAAAGAGTAGTGACAGTGCCAAAAGAAAAGGAAAAAAAGCCACTGACATTTTTTTAGGTATTAGAGAGCAAAGTTCTGACAGGAGCACCACTAATTAACTGATAATTGTCTTCCTTTGGCAAGCTTTCCTCTTCCTGCTCTTAATTTGCAGGTCTCTGTTCAGTTGTTGAAACAATACACATACTAGTTTTTCATTTATGAGTAAATTTGAACTGTTGCCACTTGAAATTGTAGCTGTTGTAATAGGTGAAACTGAGGTTGTTAGACCACCACAAGGAACTGCTGAGAACTCCCAAGTAATAAATCCACCATTGCCTGTGGATTAAAGGCAAAGGAATGAAACAATTTTTAAAAAGCAAAAATACTTCTGCAATAAAATACTGTCTTGTCTTCTCCATAACAGGCTTTATCCGTGAGGACTGGTGCTCAGTCGTTTGGAAAAAAAGTAATAATAATTGAAGTTGTATGAGAGTAAAATAGGGTTGACAGATCCTTGTGTGATGAAAGGTTGTGATTGATACGTTTTCTTCGGATCTTTGCAGTGGGAGGAAGTGAGTATTATGGATGAAAAAAATACACCCATCCGAACCTACCAAGTGTGCAACGTGATGGAACCCAGCCAGAATAACTGGCTCCGAACTGACTGGATCACCCGAGAAGGGGCCCAAAGGGTGTACATTGAGATCAAGTTCACCTTGAGGGACTGCAATAGTCTTCCAGGCGTCATGGGGACTTGCAAGGAGACGTTTAACCTGTACTACTATGAATCGGACAACGACAAGGAGCGTTTTATCCGAGAGAGCCAGTTTGCCAAGATCGACACCATCGCCGCTGATGAGAGCTTCACCCAAGTGGACATCGGCGACCGAATCATGAAGCTGAACACCGAGGTCCGAGATGTAGGGCCACTGAGCAAAAAGGGCTTTTACCTGGCTTTTCAGGATGTGGGCGCCTGCATCGCCCTGGTGTCCGTCCGCGTGTTCTATAAGAAGTGTCCGCTCACCGTGCGCAATCTGGCCCAGTTTCCAGACACCATCACGGGGGCTGATACGTCTTCTCTGGTGGAAGTCCGCGGCTCCTGTGTCAACAACTCAGAAGAGAAGGATGTGCCAAAAATGTACTGCGGGGCAGATGGTGAATGGCTGGTACCCATTGGCAACTGCCTCTGCAATGCCGGGCATGAAGAGCGGAATGGAGAATGCCAAGGTAAGACGAGCCATATTGTACTTTTCATTAGGGCTCAGTGCACATAATTAAATCAGAGATGCGACTGAATGGAGTAGAGCCAGTAATTAGCAGCCCCTGTGGGATGTGGTGGGACAGAGGGGTCTAATGAGTAAGTGCTGTAGCTCCAGGTGGCAAGGCTGGGCCGGTTCTGATCCTGACAATGTAAATGATGCTGCCATAATCAGCAGAAGGCCAAACATATTTGCTATCGGGCACTTAGATCTGAACAGGCTTGATGTGCCCTCGGAAATGTAAATGATCAAGCTGAAGAAATGAGATTGATGGATCCTTCTTTAAAGAGGGTGGACAGATGTTCAAACCATAGTATAGACTTGGTAAAAATGGTAAATATCTCTGGTTGTGTGTATATGTACATAAACAATTTACATGTGAAATATGAATTGTGTTGTTTCAAATCTCTGAAGCTGTGTGGGGAATGTCCCCTGCCTTTTGGAGTGACAGTGTTTCGAGTGCATTTGTTCCACTGAGCACCCATCGACAGGGTCCCTAAGAGAAATTAGTCTTGATGAAAGACCTTTCTTTCCCCCAGGAGGTGATAAGGAACTAGCAAGAGTCTTCTTATTTCATCTGTGGTCGGAGGCGATATTAAATTGTGATCCATTTGGTTATTGAGTGTTTGAAGAAATCTTGATGTTTTTATCATGTTAATTTCTATGCAGCATATTACTAAAGTGTTTTTTTTCTCCTCACCTAAAATAGAGTGTATGCAGTTCCTTCTTCCCTTATGTACCCTTTTCTGTCAGAATACTGAGGATTTTTTAAAGTTTTTATTTTTATTTTTTTAAAAAAGCCTTGTTTCTGAGTAAGGGATGAGAGTAATTCATTTGTATATGGATTGCTCATGTCATGTGTAGCTTAAGGCTTTAAAAAGATCAGTTATCCAAGGTTTTTATTTTTGCTTGGTATTTATTTTTAGTGGTTATCAATAGTTTGCTGCTGCCAATCTCATTATGATTAGTACTAAAGAGTGTAACCCTGGTCCCATCTAGGCAACAGATCAGATTAATCTTTTCTTGGGGTGATTGTTGAGCTGTAGACTGGATTGCCCATGGTTCACCTGATTTGGTGATTAAAGAGCCTGAAATAACTGCCTGCCAAACAATTTGTCTGGCATTTCAACCATCTTAATGACACGGGGATTAACTGTGTTTGGGGCAATCCACTCAATGGACTGGAAATCAACTATAATAACTAGAAAAATTACAGTTTTGATAATTTGGTGTCATAGAGTTATGGTTCATAGTTTATACATTTCTAAAGTGTCATTCTTGATTTGCTTGCAGTTATTTTTTGGGGTAGCTAACAATGAATGTCTTTTAACTTCATTGTAAATAAAACAGAATAAAGGCTGACTACCATTTCTTTTGACCTAAAGAGAAAAGGTAAATTTGTAAACTAGAAAATTTGTAAGTTGGAATTTAAAGGCAGCTTTTGTCATTTTGTTTGCTGTTGACTCAGCAACTATAAGATAACCTGTACCAAAGTGAAACTGTGAAGTATATTCTAATATCAATTTTAGAAAGTATATGAGTGCATTGTTATTGGCATGTGAATTATAATAATCATAGAAGGAATAGTGAAATGAACTGGGTGATGACACCACATCACATTTTAGAGTAAATTATTCTGCCTTTTCTATTTTTCTAAGACAGAATATGCACATCTTCACATGTCAAGATTTTTATATATATTTAAAATATATATTGTCTTCCATTTCCTGCTCAAATGGTCACATGGCTGGCATTAGAATCTCTCTGTATTAATGTCATTGATTTTCAATTGTCACAGAGTCCAATAATTCATAGGTTGCTTCATTGTGAAACTCCTTGACAGTTTTACAACCCAAATTAGAAGGAAAAGAGAAAAAGATGGAGGGGGAAATGAATGTAAAGTCAATTGAACATGTTAGTGGTTTGTTTTATGGAAATAATCTTGGGACTCTAGTTAATCATGTAGTTCATGGGAGGGGAGGGGCTCCAAGTTTTAGGCCTAGTTCATTTCTGAGCAAACTGTTCTTAACACAGGGTCAGATATTTAATGGAATGGGAAGATTGGTTGAGTCGTTTTTGAGAATCTTTGGTATTTCCACACCTGCTCTTCATGTACTTCCTTTGCTAAGCATAAAGTGACTAACTCGCCCTAGCTGGTTTGGCTCAGTGGATAGAACATCTGCCTGCGGACTGATGGGTTCCAGGTTCCTATTCCAGTCAAGGGCACAGGTTTGATCCCCAGTAGGGGGCATGCAAGAGGCGCCTGATCAATGATTCTTTCTCATCATTGATGTTTCTATCTCTCCCTCTCCCTACCTGTCTGAAACCAATAAAAATGTATATTTCAAAAAGTTTTAAAAAATAAAGTGATTAACTCTTTAAGAAGATACTTTTTTGCACAAAACCTTGCACTCTGTTGCTTTTTTGTTGTTTTTGATTCTACTAGTAAGAATCTCTGATGAATTTAGGAAGAAAGGAAAAACTTGAATGACAAAGGATTCTTAAAATTCCAAACTTGAGTGAGACTTTTTAAAGACTGCAAAAGTCTTAGGAGTAATAAAAATGGTTGTCTCCATCCTTGACATCATTCCTGGGGTGTCAGAGAAACATCCAAGTGGAGCTGAAGGAACATCAAGACAAGGAAATGTGTCTCAATTTGGTCACTTAGCTATATGACCTTGAGCATGTTTTTTAGGCCCTCTGAGCCATGGTTTGTTTATCTATAAAATGGGTTGATAATAATTATACCATCTTCCTGACTTGCCATGAGGACATGGTGTTGTTAGATTGGTAAAAATCACCTTGTAGATCATAAAGTATGAAACTGATGCAAATGCTAGCATTTTTTTTTAATCCTTCTGCTCTTCCCAAGTCATAGCTGACGACTTTTAAAGGTGTTGAGCTGAAGTAATAAAAGGGTATTCATCTCCCAGTCACTCTTGGAAGTCAAGGCTAAAGAGAGAAGGCATTGCCCTTGCCCTAACAAAGAATAATGTCCATTTTCACACTTCATATTGCAAATGATATTTGAAGAGTGTCAGGGTTTTTTGTTGTTGTTGTTGTTTTGTTGTCTTTGTTTGTCCCTGAAGGAAAGAGAACTTTCCTTTGAGTGAGAGAAAAGTGATTAGGGGGTGGGACAAGAAAGAGGAGGTGTGAAGAGAGCTTAAGAAGGGATATAATGGAGAATTGGCAAGGCTTCAGAACCCTGGCAGCAGGTTCCTCCCCAATTGTCTTTCCAATGGGTATACTGTGGCAGGACAAATAGAAGACCAGGTGAAAGGTCACCTACTTCCTCATCCATCTTCCTCAGGGTCTGAGAGGTCAGAGTGAAGATTGATTAAGATCTTAAATGTTTGACAAAGGATCCCTGACCGAAAATGGGTCAGGCCGGTGGGGGTCTGGGGTGTGCTGTTGTTTCAATCTAACCCTGGTCATCTGCCAGAGTCCTCAAGGGACTGGGGACAGAACTACACTTCCTCTTAGAGTTCTTACTTCCAAGCGGTACATGCTAATGGAGATGTGAAGAGCTGCCTCAAAAGTGTCCAGTGGCAGGGTGATGGTGGGCTTGCCCTCTGAAGCAGCCGCAAGTTCATTGTGCTCCTGAATACCATTTTCTGAAATGATTTGGCTCAGTCTCAGCAGGACAACAAAGAGTGTCGGTCGCTCATCTGCCCTCTTCAGGAGAAGGGTGCAGTTGTTTGAACTTGCCTAGTGATTGGGTGCAGAGGATGAGAAAGTATTTGAGTAAGTCTAGTCACCCATCCACTTCACATGGTCAGAAAAAGAAATAAAATCAAATCAGGCACCCCCTCTCCCCAACACACACAGCCATTCCCCTCGGGGAGGGCATCTGCCAGATGTTTCACAGGGCTGTTTTCCTTTCCTCAGAAATATTAAGCAGAAGGCAGACAGGAAAGGATTCTTTATGAACTTATTTTTTGCTTAATTGAAAAGCTGAAAAATAAAAGTTACAGATTTACTCTTTGTGAAATATTAATAAGCAATATTTTCAGAGAATATATAGAAAAATGAAACTAATAAAAAGAAAACTTTATTAGAGTCACTCTTAAGGGCAAGGAAGTGGTCACAACTGTGACAAAATTCAGCCAGGCAGAAATCAAGCCTTGCTGAAATATACACCTTTACATAAATTGTTTGGGGTTATATATCTCTAGGATCTATATTATATATCATTACATATATATGATGCCTTTATATCAGCAAAAGGTATCTTGTTAAAAGCTCTTTTGAGAAAGAACAAGACAAATGCTTTGATGGCTGTGAAATAGAAATATTTCAAATTTGTCCTCTGAAAAGAGCACTGTGGTTACAAAAAAATCATGATGACTTTGTTTTCCTAAGAATCTTCAGAGAAAGAAGTACTGAAAAGAAAGCATTTAAAATATAATTCAGAAGAGACACTATTTTCTTTTACCTTTGAATCGTGTCTTTAAGAATCAATTGCTTGAATCGCATGGCTGCCTTTATCCTGGCTTTGAAGCATGGCTGTGGCTATGATGATTGAAAGATGCAATTCTTTATATATGAGAAGAACAGAGTTTAATTATTGTCTTTTTTTTTTTTTTCTGTTGTGCTTTTTTATTTCTCCTGCTTCATGTGACCCAGCTTCTTTTTTAGTGTGAATGAGGCAATGGTCTCTATTTTGGGTTCACCAAAGCATCACACAGGCATTATCTCAGTTAGGGATTTTTTACTATGCTATTTAGGATTTGATGATTTATTTTAGTCTAACTGAGCTTCCCTGCACCTTTCAAAAAACAAATTAAGACATAATTCTTTTTGTAACACTTGATGCTTTAGGAAAAAGACTGATTTAATAGCTTTCCAGCTACCACTGTGCAAAACAGGCAGTTGTGATATGTTTGACTTTCACATCATTGAACTTTGCTACTTAAGGGTGTGTGTGTTTTGTTTTTAATTGATGAATTTAACATTACTAAAGAACTG